AGTTATTACACCGATTAAAACAAAACAAAACAAAACAAAAAGACAAAGGCCCTCTTTCTTCTGTTTACTTTAGATATTGAGAGAGATGTCTTGGTGAGGGAATTTGGTCACAAATAACTAAAGGACATAATTCTCTTGGCCATCAAGGAAAGCTTTTGTCAGGATTTGGGCCAAGACTGGGGCAGTTAGCAGATGGCAATGTCTGCCCAAGGTTGACAGAACAGAGTACTGAACAGCAGGGTGAAGACAGGGCCACAAACCACCAGGTCTGCTGTAAGGGTCATTTGGTCACAAGGCAAGACTCTGCAGGAAGGTGGAGTAGGGCTCCTTTTGATGCCACCATGAAGCAGTGGAGAGTAAACCTCTCCTCTCTATCTAATACTATAACTTATCCACTAAGCTAGTCTTTAAAATAGATACATTTCCAGAGCAGGATTTTCATCCCGGTGCAGGAACATCTCACCATGAGCTACAGGCTTGTCAAGCCCTGCAAGCAACCTTGCCACGAAGCCCTCCTTCACCTGGGAAATGCAGAAGCTACTCACTCTAGCTTCATGCAAAGACTTCTGAGGTACTTGTGCCACCTTGGACCTGGTAGTCAGGGTAGCTTTACATTGTGCTCTGCTTAAGACTTTGTCGCTACAACACACAGTTGAGCACTGCACTGTCATGTACAAAAGGATGGAAAGCTACAGGCATTGCAGAAAACCTTAGAAGAAGAAAAAAGGAACGATTTGTGGAGTTATTTTGGAGTTACTGTTGGGTTGGGGGGGGAGGTTTAAATCTTTTTAACAACCTCTTATGCAAACAAAAGGAGGTAGGTAATAATGCTGACTAGAAAATAAAGACCTTTCCTCACAGAAAAGCCTGTCAAAACCAATATATATGTGCACACACACTCCCACACACTCCTTTTCCTTTAAGTTTTCTGTGGAAAAATTCAGCCGTACTTTGAAAACTTCTGAAAACTTAAACTATTGAATGGAAAAGTTCATATTTCAGATTATAATGTTCACCTTCTGTTTTGCTTTCTGTTACAGCTTCTAAAGCAGAGCATGCCCTTTCTGCTAAACCATGTATTTTCTTTCTAGAACAATTTCAAAGGAAAACTTTTCACAGCCATACTATGTAGCTGGTGACACAGTCCAAGGAAAGAAACAGCAAACTGCTTAAAAACGATCTCATGAGGGGCTGTTCTTCTTTAAGGCTCTGCTGGGGGAAGCCCAACTTGCCTCTGGAATCACTCAGAGTCTGAGCAAGCGCTAACATGGCTGCTGCGCACATCAGTTCAGCACAGGTCTCTTACTTGCACCAGTGCCTGTGCTATTCCTCACAGGACCGTGTCTTCGATTTCTTCTTTTTCTTCTGGATTAGCCTTCTATTATATTTTTTACTTGAATAAATAATTTAAACAAAACAAATGCATCATACACAAACTGCTCAAGACGGGGAAGTAATTTTCAACCTAAGCTAAGAGCATTTGCCATTAGGCACAGCACAAATGGTCACAGTGGAAGTCAATTATATTCACTACATGTTTTTGCAGTCAAATATTGGTTTATAAACATCCAACCCACTTCAGGGTCGCCCGCCCC